AAATCTTCGATGAACCGCTGCTCGCGAGCCAGGGATTGTCAAAAAAATCAGAATCTTCAGATTCCATTTCTTCTGTCGAAAACATGCTCAGCAGTATCGTAGTATATCTTCAGTACAATTTTGCAGCGTTTTCATTCATTTTTCAGGAAGATAAACGACTTTGAAAATGCGAGGTGATCCCCTGGGGATCCCCAAGGGATCGGAAGAAATAGTGAATATTTAATCTTGTGCAGCACTAACCTGGCATCCATTATGCGCAGGCATCAGGGTATGAGAACCTTTATAAGCAAGATAGAGAAGAAGGAAGAAAGATATCTAGAACAGCGAGGTATGGCGCTTCCCTCTTAGATCCCCTCCCCTCCCCGCGGGGATGTACGTGCATACGGGCCTTAGTTTTTAGAATTATCCGTTGCCTTTATCAATTTTATCGATTTTTCTGCAAGTTGATTTCCGAGGCCGGTAATCACAGGGGATAAGTAGGGAGGCATGCTGACTACGAAAACAAAACGGCGATATGGGATTGGTAAGTAGAAGTGGGCATAGGGAATAGTATGTATAGCAATAGGGATAGTGACCTTTGACATAGTGTTTTGACAGGGCCGGGTGGAGCCGGGTATGCCAGCTAGTTTCGTATAAAACCAGTTACTACATGAGCTGGGAGAACAAGTTTGAGTATCTTTACGCAATGTCTGCAAAGCGTTTTTGACCGTTTTAAAGGCAGCGGCTCGGCAGAATAGACCTATCTCAGAATTTGATTAGATGGGTAGGAGGCCCTCCAAGTGAACCAAAAGAGCAACTCCGGGCCGAAAATGTGAATTCTGCAGGCCGGAGGGGCGAGCCAAGCTCCGCTCCCCTTCCTCCTTTCGCTCCCCTAACACCTTGTGCGGACGAGTATGTTCGCCGCTAGAAAACGAGCCGTCACTCGTAGCTTCATAGGGCAGAATTGTTCTAGCGCTCTCTACCTCCTTACTCTGCGTCTCTGACGGCAGAGAAAGACGGCTAACTCGTCCGCGCCCGTCTCAAGGGGGGTTTCAAAAGACATGGTTTTACCCAATTTCGCGCTAAGGGGAGTTCATGTCGTGATTCAGGGGGCCGGAATAGCCCCAAATCTGCCAGAACCCCAAAGTTCGAAAATCTGCCGAGCCGCTGCCTTTAATCATGATATCATTCATTCTCTAACTAAGAGACACAAGCACATTTCGCGTACTTCTGATCAATAAGTTTATGAGGTACGTAACGCGTCCTGGTAGATTACTACTGGGATTTCGTGAAACATGTTCAAATTCGCGATGTTTTACGAGTTCGAACATGTTCTTTCAAAAACCTTGCAGTAAACCAACAAAACGTGCTAGAACTCACTCATGAACTTGTTACTCAAACGTACGCAAAACGTTCTCGTGTTTCTTAAGCCCTTAGGCCATACGCGCAGCGATTTCGTCGTCGCGTTTCCGTCGCCAGGGAGTATCATGATCGGAGCGACGAGATCGCGACTATAGAATCGCTGGTCGTGGGTCTTGGACATACCTACCTATTCAGCAATAAGATGAAAATATGTACACACCTCAACACTCATTCTACGTTTTCTCCTGGCATCCAAAAGCAGTAGTCAGCGTGATTTCTCTACATTTGCAAATTTCTTTGCATTTTGTCGACAGCGATACGTTCAACATCAATACATATTAGTTCCTCGCACATTTGCATCGCCGTTCAACTTTCATTAGATATAGGATGCAAAGCCAGGTTTCTCAAGTTGTAGCTGCGGTTTCATACACTGCTAATTTTTCGCAATATTCAGATATCTGGATATCACGCATGTTACTCGATTACGAGTAACATGCGAACAATAAAAAATATCCAATTTGACTGATGGCACGAATTGAGGGGACGCGCATCACAACACGAAAGGAATTAAATTTGGGAAATCTGCATCACATAGCGTCTCCGCAAAAAAACAAGTCGAAGGTGAAAAGAGTTGCCCTAAAAACTTCCAAAAAAACTCAATTCTAACAATCGCCCCGTCGCTGATTTTAAACTTGCGACGCGATATCGCAAGATTTCGGCCAAATCGCGGCGATATTGCTAGAATAGGTATGGCCTAGGAAAATACGGTCAGCGATCCATTGCGCCGGACAGCTAGCACGACCGACATGCATGATTTGCCCGCACGCATAGAGCGAAGAACCGTTGCCCTACTGCACAAATCGCATCGCGATGATTTTTTGTCGGTATGGCCAAGGCTTTAGAGAATAAATGGTACTATTCCACTCAAAGACAGTGTCCGGGCAAAAAATCGATTTAGATTTTGTGCTTACCCGGGCCTATTCGCTATGCTGAATCCGAAAATCCACACTGGAGAGGAGAGAAGCTCGAGCGTGATTCCACAGTGAGGAGGCCCCGCCCACTTACTGATTTCCCCTTGCGTTAGAGCCGTTTTTCGCCGTTTTCGCGCTCTACCTTTTACCCCTCTCCAGTGTGGATACTCGGATTCAGCATAGCGAATATGCCTGGGTAAGCAAAAAATCCAAAATCGACTATTTGCCCGGACACTGCCTTTAATACAATCCAAAAATTGAAAATCACGGATTTCTCTGAAAATTTGCTCAAAGGGGTTACTTGACCTCCTCATCACGAAAATGATATCTATTTTGCATGGTGAGGTTTTCTACGAGGTTACGGTATGGGGTCAGGATCTCAGAATTCGCTAAATCCTTGAATAGGGGGGTTATTCGACATGCTGAATCGCAAGTACCACATTTTTCTCGCACGAAAACCTCTCCTTGCTACGGTCACGGTAGATCTGCCTGAAACTTTGTGCAGGTGTGTTATCTGATGTGCTCATCACGAATACCGCACTCATTTCGCTTATAAGGCCTTCTCGTGCATTTTTGGGATCTTAATTGGTCTGAAAAGCGGGAAAGATGCTCAATTAAGCGCTGCAAATTGCCATAACTCCACAACAAAGCGTTGTTATAGCGAGCAAGCCTGATATTCGTTATCAGCATGCTTGAAAACCCATCTAGGCAACGTTTTAAGCAGAGTTGAAAGTTTCACCCATGTACCGCGTACCCATCGTACTCGGATAAATGGCGCTACCGTACAAAGCCAATATGATATCCATGTTCAGCGGCTAAATAACCCCTCCAGACCGAATTCCGGCCAAATCTAGGTTTTGACCCCCTACCGTAAACCCACCGTAACCGTACAGGGAGGGTTTTCATGCGAAAAAAAGTGTGATATTCGTGATCAGCATGTCGAATAACCCCCCTACGCAGTTTTGGCGAATTCTGAGATTTTGACCCCATACCGTATGCTACCGTAACCCCTCAAAAAAACCCCACCTCGCGAAATGGATACATCTCATAATCGACAGGTTGAAGAACCCCCCCCCCCCCCTGGGCGAGTTTTCAGCGAAATCAGTGGTCTTCAATATTTGGGTTGTATTTAGTGGAATAGCGCCGAATGAATGATAGATATGTGAATAGGTTAAAGGCAGCGGCCCGGCAGATTTTCAACTTCGGGGTTTCGGCAGATTTGGGGCTATTCCGGCCCCCTGAATCACGATATAAGCTCCCCTTAGCGCGAGGGGAAAACCCCGTTTTTTGAAACCCCCCCCCCTGAGACCGGCGCGGACGAGTGAGGCGTTTTTCCTGCCGCCAGAGACGCAGAGTAAGGAGGTAGAGAGCGCTAGAACAGTTCTGCCCTACGAAGCTACGAGTGACGGCGGGTTTTCTAGAGGCAAACATACTCGTCCGCACGAGATGTTAGGGGAGCGAAAGGAGGAAGGGGAGCGGAGCTTGGCTCGCCCCCTGGCTTGCAGAATTCACATTTTCGGCCCGAGTTGCTCTTTCGGTTCACTTGGAGGGCCTCCTATTCATCTATGTCAAATTCTGAGGTAGGTCTATTCTGCCGAGCCGCTGCCTTTAAGACGTCGACTTATCATCATGGATCTCATTGTGAGGTTGCGAGGGACAAAGAGTTTGAAATTTGCTAGGTGTCAATTTTAGTGTTGAACAATCCTTCTGGAACATAAGCTACGCTTCAATATCTAATCTAAAATATAAAAAAGTAAGCCCAATTCAAAAATCTGCAAATAGCGGAACGCGCGCGAATGCATTCTAGCGCTTTAACTACTGGTTCACTAGTCGTGGAAGTGAAAAAGAGTTTCTGGCTATTTTGGACGCTTTTAAACGCTCGAGAAAAGATTGACCAGTGCCCTAGAGTGCTTTGACCAATAGTGAAGTGGATCGGTTGGATCATGTGCGACATGTGCTACACGCTCCGCTTAAAGGCAGTGTCCGGGCAGAAACTCGACTTCTAAAAAATCAACTTATCTGGGGTTATCCGCAACGCTGAATCCGAAAACCCACATCAGAAGGCGCGAAAACGGCGAGAACATGCATTTTCCAAGTCCTCACATTTCGAAATTTGGGGATCCCCGCCAGGCTAAGACGCAGAGGTTGCAAAGAGCGCACGGTTTTTAACTGTGGCGGCATACGTACTCTGCCGTCTGGCAGGAATTCAAACAACTCGGAGGACCCCGCCCCAAGGCGTAAGTTTCCCCAATTTGCAGTCGTTTTTCTTGCTTTAGGTCGAACGTTTTATGCTCGCAGTTGCGCGATGTTGTGTCTCAGGGGGGCTACTTTCACATGGCAGAGAAATCTCAGAACCCCCATTTTGCCCGGACACTGCCTTTAAAAAAAATATTGTCATTTGACATAGAAAGTGGAGTTTCCCTCATGCAAGTTCGCTTTCACAGCGCCAATTGACAAGCACCTGTCATTCGGTAATAAGCGTCTTTCATCTCTTGCAGATGAAGTGGATATTACAAGAGTCGTGCCAATCTTATAAAATAAAAAGCTTGTCATACACCAACAAGCAGTCACAACGTTTGAAAACTCAACAATGACCACTACAAACAGCTCGAATTGCTAACTTTGATAGATTTGGCGAAGGAGCAAGAGGCTCCCACTGAAAATGAGAGGGATAAAAGTGACGCTCACATCTCCATATTTGCATCCAAATGTTTCCAGGCGTCTACGATCTTTACAGTTAAGCTGATGAGCATCAATATTGCAAAGATCAAGTATATGGGTTGGGTTGTACCGGCACATTACCACACTGCCGTCTCGCTGACTTAACATTTCTTGCTAAAAAAAGGTATTTCTCTAAAAAAAATGCAGATATGAGGACCGACCGTGGGAGCAATCTTGTACAGCGTTCTAGCTCTTTTTGATGCTTCCTCGGGATCTAGTTGCCTGATGTCTGCAAAAGAATTTGTGGTAGTCTTTTTATCGCATATTAGATATTATTGCAAATATGACTCTAATATTTTCCAAATTCTGTCAAAAAAAGAGCAACATTAACGCACTTTCTGCTTCTCACTAAATTCAGCAAACTCATACTACTTAGAGAGTACAAAAACTAGTAGCGCGTCGGTACTGAACTGCAACAGTAAAACCTTGACGCTTGATAAGCACTGAATTTCGAGTATCAAAAAGAGGAGACAAAGAAGTCGCAAAGTGCGTATCTAAAATTAAAAATGGCTGCGCAAAGCGCGCCCCATTACCCAAGGCAAATTTCTTTCCTGGCGAATCCTGTCGATAAAACGCGCAAACCCCACCAGGGTCGTGCACAAGCCGCGAAGACCCGAGCCGCAAGAGACATACTTATTGGGACTGCTTAAACTTTACTAGCAGTAGTACAACCCATCAGCAATGAAAATGGATTGAGAAGAACATTCGACGAGATTAAGCTTTCAGGTCTTAAAGCAGCAGCTGATTGAGGTTGGCAAATCCTCAGCCAGGCAAGAGAATGACTTAAAGGCAGTGGATCGGCAAAACTTGACAACCCAGGATCTTAACGCAGTAGGTTCCTTATCGTCCAAGTATGAAAACAGTGCAATCTCGGTTGCACAGCATACCTTCCCTGTCGAGATAATCGCTCTCAAATTTACACGCGCAAGCCAATCTTACACGCACCCGGACGAGTAGACAACTTCCTTCTCACCATTGGAGGCTGCCCGCCACAATGCTATAATCATTGGGTCGCAACGATTCAGCGTGATCAGCATTGCTCCACGTCCAATTTTGAAGGGAAGGGGGTTAAAAAACGCTCGTTTTCGCCGTTTTCGAGCTCTCTAGAGTGGATTTTCGTGATCAGGGTATTGAATAACCCTAGGTAAGCGAAAATTTGACTAGGCTGAGATTTGCCGACCCATTGCCTTTAAGTCACAAACCGACAACAGCAGAAAAAGGAACGTGCCACTGGCTTACTAGACCCACATGAAACGAATCATAACTTTCCACTCAAACTTTCTCAGCCTTCAGTACAGACGCATGAAAAACAACAATCCCTGACACATAAAGCTAGAGTAATAGGACTGAGTAAACCAAAACTGAGAAAAGCATAAGTGACAAACCTGAAGGTCTCTGTGGTCGATCGTAAGCATCGTACCGTCGTCCATTCACTTGACCGTTATGACGATTAGCAACATTATGATTCGAGTTGAAACGATTGCCATTACTTACATGGCCATTTTCTTGGTGATACCCATTGGAAGCAGATGCAGGAGATTCCCTCCGATGATAGTACCCATTCGGTCTGCCAGCCATAAGCTCTGGAAAACTACTTTGAAATGGCTAGTAACGTTCTTGGATTCAAGACGCAGTACAAGAGAACTATCATTCATTCTCTGACTAAGAGACACGAACACGCTTTGCGTACTTTTCATTGACAAGCTCGTAAGTTTGATCGTTTTGGTTCATTTACTTTTACCAAAACGCGTTGAAACGCACTCACAAATTTGTTAGTCAGAAGTACTCGTGAGTAGATGTGCTCGTGTCTCTCAAAGTCAGAATGGTAGAGAGGTATAGGCGTTTCCCATGCGTAGAGCGGGCGTGGCCGTGCAGACATTTGAACACATTGAAAAACTTGTTGAACCTCCACTCTAAAGCATTACTTTTTGCACTCTCTAGCTGCCAAAAACTGCCACGTGCATACGTTGCCAAACGTCTGCAAAGCTCCGCCCGCTAAAAGTGGGGAAAGGACGATACTAAACAGTCGAAAATGATCTAGTGTGAACGCGCACTTCCATGCTTCATCATTGAGACTTCGTCATACATACATCAAAAACACCTCGCATTCCATAAAATATCCGTATGAAAAAGCAATGCACAACTCAGACACTCGCACCGGCCGGCGGGAACGCCGTAAAAGGGCTCACGACTGGGAGGAGTTGCAGGTGCGCTCCATCGCCATGATTAGAGCACCTCTTTTCAACTGGAGCGCACTATCTCTATCTGACAAGGAGTGTCACCGGTGATGAAAGGCTGCTGATGTATGACTGTTGCACGGCTACTAGTAACGAGTCATGAGATTGACTGAGGAAGAGATGGCTACATCTCTGACATTCGTTCCGTACGAGCCGCGCGAATTTTGCGTACGAGCGGACTCCTCAATGGCCGTTCGCCCGCTAAATGCGCTGGGGTGATACGCGAATTTTGCGCCGCTGGTACGCTGTCACTTCGGCGCCGCTGGTACGGTAATTTCGTGCTTGAATCGCTGATATGACAATTTTGTGTTAACGCCATTGATATGGCACTTTCGGATTCACGTCCGGCTACAAAATTGAGCAACACAAAGGTACTATCAAATATTGTCTAAAGGATCATCTTTCTACTATGTCCTTGAGTAAGTATTGTAAACACATTCACGTCACTTAGCATTGAGGGCAGCCTAATCACTGCGTCGTACCTTACGCAAGTATCCTTTACGCTTATAACGTGTGAAAATTACGCTATAGTTTCTGTGCACTTAAAAATGTGAAAATTATAACCGAATGCATGAATAATGATTGCGCACAAACTCAAACGTCTTTTTTTGACTATAGTAGCCGTGAACACGTGGACCTGCCTGAAGAGCTGCAGAAGCTCAAATTAGTGGTACGCGGCTCGTACGTCTGAAGGCACGCGGCCGGTACTGCTTGTCAACTGCGCACCGCTCGTACTCGTGCACGCCGAATTGCGCCCCGCCCGTATAGGGGGGACGCCGTGGAACGCCGCTGGTCCTAAAATTTAGATATTATGGTACGCCGCTTGTACGTTTGAAGGCACGCGGCCGGTCCTGCTGTCGTGTCGCGCCGCTCATACGCTTGACAGGCGCGGGTCGTAGGAATCGTTATTTTTGCGCGCCGTTCATCCGAAACGAATGTCAGAGATCATTAGCCTACAGGGCGTTTGTTGTTCAGTTGTATCAGTGGATAATTTGTGCTGGGAGGGTTCCCAATATTATGTTCATAGCTGACGAGTAAACCTTCACCCCCCCCCCTTCCGCTTGTGTTGCGAAAGGGCAAAACATAGGTTTTGCCGTAGTTTATCGGGGGCAAAAGTACCCTCTTTTTTTGCCGAGCGCGATTTCGCGGTCCGAAACGTGCTGAAATACTTTTGATCGTTTTTCTGGATTCCCTGTTATATTTCCTGCGGGGGTTTTCTGCCGGGTTCGGCGTTTATCGATTTGGAGCGTTTCACTGAGGCAACGTCACCAGTTGTCTTAAATACCGGGTCTATTCGGCATCATTCCTGTATCTTTCGTTGCTTGTTGGATGTTCCATTAGTACAGATCAGAACCGTTATATTGCTAGCATGTATTTTGATCATAGGCTGGTCTTTTCGGATCTATCCATTCTATCAGAGTTGCGCACCTATAAATTGTTATGGTTTCACTCCTATGAAGACCCTGCTCCAAAAGCACTTGTGTATCATCACTTCGGGACTCGGCATCTCGAGTTATCGATTTGTTCGTTCGGCATAAGTCCGATTGGTTGTTTGTACTTCGTTCTATTGTTTTCGAGTGCGAATAGAACTGCAATACATAACGTCTGCATCGCGGTTTCGAGCGTGTTCACATTTCCCTAAGATCCTTGCACACTTTTATCTTTTCGATTCTACATACAGTGATGACAAATCCACTGGCAGGCTGATTCAGTTGAAACGCATGACTCATTAGTAGTCAGCTGATGTGAGCGCTTGGATCGATTGCGGTTCTACTTTCACATGAACATTCTACATTTGTGAAGATATGTTCTTGGAAGGGCACTGACATAGCTCCACTTTTATCTCAAATCCATATTGATGTGCACCTTTCAATATGGTTTAAACAACTTCTGGACTGTTTAACTGGTGGACCTGAGGACAAGTTTGTTATACAGCATGTCGTAATGTGTCCAGGTTCCACATCGATTTTACTTGCCTAAGTGCACATAAACCGCTTTCTGAAGCCTTTGCGAAGTTCACGAAGAGTTGTAGTGTAATTGGTGCTTTCTACACCACTTGCTTTGTAACGCCTCCTGCTAGCCTACATTTTCAGTAAGTTTTACTGAAACAATGGCAAACAAATAGTGTTCTTCCGTAGACCATAGCAACATGTTCCGTTACTGCTTAATGGACGAATCATTGAATTATATAAATAAAAATTGGTCAAATTTTACAGTTCCAGCTGAGGTCGCTGATTTTGTTCAATGTTACAAGATTCACGACGTGACATTCGTTCTTTGCTCGACTTTTGCACATTTCGCAATCCAGTTATCGGGCTTCCATCACTGCGCGATTTTGATCACCTTGTAAGTGGTATGGACCTTCGATGTCTTTCTTGTCTTTTTTTAGTTATACTATTGCGATGGATAGGTTTCTCGTTGTATTCGTTGTTGATTTTGCTTCCATTTGTTCCGAAAGTGCGTGAGACGGCGAGATTGTTCTTATCGCTATATCACTGTGAGGTCTGCTTTTCTATTTCGCAAAGATGCAAGTCTTGAGCATATGAGGAGAACGGACTCAAATTTTTAATTTTGTTTCAATAGAGCAACTCCTCCAGATTTGTTCACACGAAGCGCAATGGCAGCGATCATTCTTTGACTCGAAGGTTATTGATTTGGAGATAGTTCTGCCGCAAAGCATCGAACGATGATGATGTTGATGTTTTTGAGTGTAAGTGATAGCTCTTGCGTTTCGCCACAATCACGCTAAAGATCTTGCCTTGCTTGGGGACGGTGTTGCTGCCCAAGGAAATCATTTTCTATCCACGGATTGCTTCGCTCTATCCCAAAACAGCTAAATTTTTCAGTCACCCTCCCTATTAATATTGTTCTCATCTCCGATTCGTCTCGCTTGATAGTCATACCAGCAAGAACATCCGGTTTCGTTAAGGGTAGTGCGTAGCAAGTCTTTGATTATGATCGATTTTTATATGATGGGGAGTATATATCACTTCGTTTTGACTCATCCGCAACGTTTTTCTCAACAAAATTTCCATGTTTTTTCAAAGCTTCCGCCACCTTTATGGAGCATCAATTTATACCTTAGGCATATGCCATACTTGATCCATTCCACTTCCTCCTCTTTGGTATCGGTCAAATCAGTGGACTGACCAATGGCGAAGTGGATCAAGTGGACATTCGCGTCGCTATCAGTCAAGGACCCGTTATACTTCGCCGGGAAAAGCCCAAAAAAGCCGATAGAGCCGAAACGTCTCTTCCCTTTTGACGCTAAGGCATGCGTGTTGGTTTCGCAACCGAGTCTTTTTGCTTCATTTTCTGTCGTCTGCACATCAAAATAATGTCAGAATTCCACCAAAAGTTCGTTTCTACGTTCCGGCTCTTTCGGGCTTTTTCCGCCTTATTGGGCTTTTTCCGGCTTTTTAGGGCTTTTTCGGGCTTATTTGAGCTTTCTTGGGCGCTTTTGGGCTTTTCTCGGCAAAGTATGACAGGTCCTTCAGTTTACTGATTTGACAAATAGGGAATGGATAAAGTGGATTAAGTGGATCAAGTATGGCGCATGCCTTAGCAATTATTCTTCCAGCTTTGTTCTTGCTATCCTCGCTACGTCAATGTTACTATCACGCAAAAAGATATGTCTTGATTTCAGCCTCTCTTCGTACTTTGCACTTTCGCTCGAATTGGTTCGTGTTCTCTATCAGTATAAATCTATGTTTCAGATCTAAAATCTTCAAATATGTCAGGCAGAAAGAAGGCGCTTCTCAAAGTGATTATTCTCGGCGATTCAGGTGTTGGCAAAACATCTCTAATGAATCAGTATGTAAATCGTAGATTCAGTAATCAGTACAAGGTGAGCTGCAGTGTTGCCGTTTTGACATAGGGAAATGGGACTAGCTGATTTCTGGCTACGAGCATCTCTTGATTTGGCTGTTTATGACCGAAGTGGCTATTTATGCTTTGTTTAGGCAACGATAGGCGCTGATTTTCTGACTAGAGATGTTCAAATTGATGATCGCACTGTTACACTGCAGGTACTTTTTTTTTCTAAAGTTAGTTGGTAATTTTTAGTTTTATAAAGGGAAATCACTGCAGGGGCTCAGTATGCTGTGTTATGTATATTTTTTCATTAGTAATCGTCCTTTCATCAAGATCGTATGTGCTCCGATGAACTTGTTGATCCTGGCTCGCTGCCATCATATATAGTGGTCTCCCAATGCTTCAAAGGCAGCGTCCAGGCAGGTCTGGACCTATGGGGGTTTTACAAGGAAAGTAATTTTGGGGCCCTAACTAAGGCACTGCCCAAGCGGCCGCGGAGGTGACTCACTAATGGCTGAAATATACGCCTCTAAACTGGACCCCAGGATCGTATTCGCATGGATTCGAGGCATTTTCGAGCGAGGATCCACGCGTTGCGCCATGAATCCATGCGAAATACGATCATGGAGTTTGTTTCGAATGAAATATCTCAGCCGTTAGAGCAGTACCTGAGCTGCCGGTTGGGCAGTGTTTAGTTAGGGTCTCGAAATTACTATCCACGTGAGATCATCCAGACGTGCCTGGACGCTGCCTTTAAGATCTATGATAAGCTTCTAGATTCGTATGGAGGCGGTTGCGGATTCCCCTGATTATGAGGTTGAAGTCAATGAAAAAGTAGGAAAAACAACTGCTGTAACGTGGAGGTTTAACAAGTTTATTCTTAGGGATCGTCCAGACCGTGCCGATACCCGTTCAAATCCGTCCGAGTCCGCTCAAACCCGCCCGAATACGTCCGAATTCGCCCGAACCCGCCTGAACGACGGGACTGCCAAAGCGCCAGATATGGTCGAGCTGCGTATAGCTAAGATATATGCACCAAGGGTGCTCCAATATACTAGTTTTCACCCATATCTGCTGCGCTTTGCCAGTTCCGGCGTTCAGGCGGATTCGGACATATTCGGGCGGATTTGGACGTATCCGGGCGGGTTTGGACGAGTACCGGCGCGGTCTGGACGATCCCTTATGATCAGGGGAGGTCCGCTTCCACACTAATCTGGGAGCCAATGAAACCTAGGCCCGTATGCACGTACATCCCCGCTCGGGAGGGGAGGGGATCTGACAAGGAAAGGAAGGTTGGTCGAAGTGGCCTTTTAAAATGAGATGTATACTGTTAGAGCTTGGAACGCTGATTCCAAATCTACCTTTGCTATCTGCTGCTGGCTTCTGGGCGAGGAGTTATGAAGGTTTTTGTGAGTAAAAATCTGAATGCAAAAATAGGGTAAAGTCAGCCGTAACCTTTTCCCAATGTTCAAATGAGGCAGCAGCAAAATGGTATACTTGGATTAAGAATATTTGTTGCACCGAGTGACCCGACTACCAATTAGGCCCTATAAAAAATGTTACAATTAATTTTAGCCTACTCTTGCATTTAGAATTTTATTCACAAAAATCTTCATAACTCCTCGCCCAGAAGCCCGCAGCAGATAGCAAAAAGAGATTTGGAATCAGCGTCCCAAGCTCTACAAGGCAGTATACATCTCATTCCAAAAGGCCACTTCGACCAACCTTCCTTTCCTTGTGAGAGGGGATGCGTCATATCTCTCTCTCTGCGTATCTTTCTTCTTCTTTCTCCTTGCTTATAAAGACTTTAATACACTTATACCTGCGCATAATGGATGCCAGGTTACTTCCATACAAGATTGGTTTTTTGCCATTTTGTGAGACCCCAGGGGATCCCCTGGGGGTTACCTCTTTCAAAGTGATTTATTCATCTTCCTGAGAAGTCAAAGAAAACGCTGTAAAATTGTACTTAGGACATACTACAGCACTGCTGAGAATGTTTTCGACGAGAAATGGAATCTGAAGATTGTGATAATTTTGATTCGATATCCTGAGATTTCACATATCTCTACTATGAACATCTTTAGCAGTGGCGTAGCATATCCACAGTACAATTTTACACGTTTCATTTAGTTCAGGAAGATAAATGGAATTGAATTTCAGAGGTGGTCCCCAGGGAGCCACACAAAATAGGTGAAAATTTAATCAATTATACCACAATTTTACACGTTTCATTTAGTTCAGGAAGATAATTGGAATTGAAATTCAGAGGTGGTCCCCACGGGGATCCCCAGGGAACCAGACAAAGTAGGTGAAAATCTAATCAATTATACCAGTAACCTGGCATCAGTTATGCGCAGCTATTAGTGTATGAGAACCTTCATAGGCAAGGTAAAGAAGGAAGAAGAAAGACACCTAGAGCAGCGAGATATGACGCATCCCCTCTACCAAGGGAACGATACTTGGTGTCCATGGCCTTTTGAGCTGAAATGCATACCATTACACTCATCTTGGAGCACTGATTCCGAATCTGACTTCCGTTTTTGCTATTCCTTTCTCGGAAGAAGTTATGGAGGATTTTCCAAAGGAGATGTAGTCGAAATGTCAAAACCGCCGCTGTGATGTGATGTAGTGGTTAGTGCGATAGCCTCGCAAGTTAATGCAGGTTTAGTCTCGAGTCCTTCAGCGTTTTTAAGTTTTGCATTGCCTCAACCAAGCTTCTTTTCAAAAGTTAGGCATCCGCGACCGTATTTCTTTTACGCGAAAATTCTTCATAACTTCTTCTAGAGAAACGATTAGCAGAAACTGAAGTCAGATTCGGAATCAGCGTCCCAAGACGAATGTGATGGTATACGTTTCATCTCAAAAGGCAACGGACACCAAGTATCGTTCCTTGTAAGATCCGCTCCCCTTTCCAGCGGGGATGTACGTGCATACGGGCCCTAGTTTGCTATCAGGCCCCGACCAGACTTCGCGTAAAAGCGCTCAGATTTCTCTAGCCTCTCCTCACTTTCTCTCATCTCTCCTCACATGAGAAAGTGAAGAGACATTAGAGAATTCTGGGCGCTTTTGAGCGAAGTCTTGCTGGGGCCTTAGTATTGACTTTGCATCTGACTTTTGTCCAACACGAATTGTTAATAGTGTTATAAGTCAGTAGGTGATAAGAGAATACTAGTATGACTCTTGTATTACCTAATCAGAAATGTAGTACACGCTCCCTTCTCTATTCCGCAAATCAACACCTGTGGCCGTATCCATCAACGAACCCAGTGGGTTCCGGGACTCAGTGGGTAGGCTTAACCCACAAGATTGTTATCTACGAAGCTAATGGGTTCGCGAACCCAGCAGTGCTTATTGTGAATATCGATCCAACCCAATGGCACTGTTTTCGCTTACCCACTGAGTACCGGAACCCACTGGGTTCGTTGATGAATACGGCCACTGAAGTGACTTCGTATCCAATCCAGTATCGGTCTGATTGGAGTTGTTTGATCTGCTACCTTGTCACACTCCTTATTTTTGATCTCATGACCTGCTGGTGCTGTGCATCACATCATACAGGCCAAAAAAGGATCATTTGATGTTCTGATTAAGGATTTTCGATTGTCTTGGACGTCTTTGTAAGACCCTATGTATCTTCAGATTTGGGATACAGCAGGCCAAGAGCGTTTTCAGTCACTCGGGGTAGCTTTCTATCGTGGTGCAGATTGCTGTGTACTTGCATTTGATGTCACGAGCACTTCCTCCTTCAAAAGTCTTGACTCTTGGAGGGACGAGTTCTTGATCCAGGCATGGTACGGTTTCATTGCTTGTAGGCTACAGTTATTAAAACTAACTTTCAGCCCTCGTGATCCGGAGAATTTCCCATTTGTTCTACTGGGTAACAAAGTTGATTTGGAAGCACAACGGGCTGTAAGCGCAAAACGTGCACAGTCATGGTGTCAAACAAAAAATAATATTCCATATTACGAGGTATACTCTCAATTTAGCTTTTTCATTTGGTTCATTAACTGCATGCTCGTTATTATTGCAGGTATCTGCTAAAGAGGCTGTGAATGTCGAGGCTGCGTTCCAAGCAATCGCGCGTGATGCTCTTGCTAGAGAAGCTCAGGTCAGACAAGCAAACGATTTTTTCTTTGTGGATCCTAGTTCAATTTATGACAAGCAGTCTCGTTATTGTACTCAACCAGTTATCTTGTCAGCTGAAGAGTTTGGCCCTTGATCTTTTCTTTTGACATGTGGACGAATTCAATGTTCGAGATGTTATTGAAGCGCAAAGACTGTCCATCCGCATTACTAGCATTTTCATATACCTAAGTGTACTAAAACAAAGGTTCCGCACACTTGCATCTGAAGGCAGTGTTCGGGCAGAATTGGGAGCAGTCAGTCTCAACACTTCACTGAAGCCGGCTGAACGTGCAAACCATAGCCCGGTTGCGACTGCGAAATATTGCTTCTCATGCGAGGAAGTCGCTTCAGAAGTTATACATATAAGCATGGTCCTTACCGAAGCAGGAAGTCGTGGCTGGACATGCCGTTGCAACCAGTGACAGCGTCGCAGAATCCGTTTCTCAGCACGATTTCCTGCTTCGTTGAGGACCGAGGGGCGTATATGTTCAGGCTTTTGAAGCTTTTTTCTCACTTCAAAAGCAGTATTTTGCAGTCAAAGCCTCGCTATGACTTGCATAGGCAGCGCGGTGGCAAACGCAGCTCCGCCTGGTTCTGTCAATAAACATTCGTAAATACAGCACGCTCACTTACCCTCTCCCCCCCCCCCTCTGTGCCAGCTGCCGACCTCGTGGGTGAAACTTTGTAAAAATCGATCTTGATCAGTGACGGAAAGTATCTTAGCACCGTCCACCCAAATTCTTGACTTCCATGTTTGTCACTTACATGCCTTCTGAAGGCCCTGATCTCCAATACGGGGGGGGGGGGGGGGGGCGGCCGTTAGGTACCCAGTCGAGGTGCGGGCGTTAGGTACCCAGCCATTAGTGGTAAACACTAAGCCACGCCCCCTGGTTGCTTCAACAGCGGGTACCTAACGATACACCAAATCCTAGCTGCTAGAACAGCTCACATAGCTCGCTAAAAGCGCTGGCGCTCGCGACTCACAGAAAAATGATAGTTCGAGAAAATCAAAAAAAATTGCGCGAATGAAAGCACAAGTTTACAACGCTTTTTCTTTTCTTTTTTTTTTCAAACCATTTTGGAATCACAGAAACTCGGTGCCGAAAAATGGAACAGGGTAAACTTTTTATGAGAACTTCACAGTTTTGCAAAAAATCGTGATGATCTGAGCCGAAAATGTTAGCGGAAATTTCATAAAAGTAAACTTTGTGGAATACCAATAAATCAATTTTATGATTTTACTGAAGCAAAGCACACTTTCGGATGCGCTCCTGGCAAATAAGTTGCACGGAGTATTCCTTTGTTTTAAAAAGAAAACATTTTTGACAATGAGAAGTGGAACCGATTGCTAGAAGAGCTTCAACGAGGATCTTGTCATCAGGAATCGGAATTTTATGGAGGACTATGTGATCCATTAATATGGGAATGGCTAGGGCTCTGTTCCAGTCGATGAAAATAATTGTTACACAGTAGTTACACAGCTAGCCAACTTCGGATGAGTGTGTGCTACAGATTAAAACAGGAAAAAGCAGCAACTCTACTGAGAACAATTATTGACAAAATCTTTCGCTTTTTAGTGAGTTACAAGAAATTTATAGCTTTGGTTGGATAAACTGAGCATATTTTGGCTGCTAGAAAAGGGAATGAATATGAAATGATTGCAATATGAAGGCTCCAAAGAAGCACTGCAGAGAGCATAGGTATGATAAAATACAGTAGCTCATTGGAATTTTCATACGGGATATGGAACCTTACGAAATAAGGAAAAATGTATGCTTATCAATGAAATGTCCCATAAATCTGTTGACCTTAACTATGACCGAAGTGATAGGCTAATCTACGATAACGTAGCACAATCCCTGTGGCGACATCAATGCAAGTGCTACGACCGTTGGCTTTACGCCTCAAAACGAGCCTGACGATAATATGTGAAATATTTCGTGCAGCTTATTTGCCAGAAGCGCATCCAAAAGTGCGCTTTGCTTCATTAAAAGTACAAAATTTTGATTTACTAGCTGGCTTACCCGGCTCCGCCGTATCCGGACCAAACTTGGCACACATACACTTCGGGCTCCGGCGGGTGTCACAGTCCACTTTTCGTTATCGATCGATGTCGATTTTACCGATTTTTATCGATTTTTTCGCAGAGTTCACCTACAGGGCTAGGAGTTGGCACAGGGGGGAAGTGAGCATGGGGTTTCCGAATACAATATTAGTTTTCAGAATTATCGGTTACTTTTGTTGATTTTCTCGATTTTTTGTAAATTTTGACATGCGAGGCTGGGATTTTGCACAGGGGGGTAATCGAGCATGCTGATTACGAACACAATATTAGTTTTCAGGATGTCCATTACTTTTATCGATTTTATCGATTTTTTTGTAAAGTTTGACCTGCTGGGCTGGGAGTTTGCACAGGGAGTAATCGAGCATGCAGATTACGAATACAATATTAGTTTTCAAGATCGTCCATTACTTTTATCGATTTTATCGATTTTTTGAAAATTTGAGCTAGGGGGCTGGAATTTGGCACAGGGGTGTAATCGAGCATGCTGATCACCCCCCTTGGGGATGATCAGCATGCTCGATTACCCCCCTGTGCCAACTCCCAGCCCCCTAGCTCAAACTTTGCAAAAAAATCGATAAAATCGATAAAAGTAATCGATAATCCCGAAAACCAATATTGTATTCGGAATCCCCATGCTCGATTACCCCCCTGTGCCAACTCCCAGCCCCGTAGCTCAAACTTTGCAAAAAATCGATAAAATCAATAAAAGTAATCGATAATCCTGAAAACCAATATTGTATTCGGAATCCCCATGCTCGATTACCCCCCTGTGCCAACTCCCAGCCCCGTAGGTGAACTCAGCAAAAAAATCGATAAAAATCGATAAAATCGATATCGATCGATGACGAAAAGTAGCCTATGACACCCGCCGGGGCCCGTAGTGTATGTGTGCCAAGTTTGGTCCGGATCGGTTCAGAAATGGAATTTTCTATTCGGAACATACGTACACACATACATACAGACATACATACATACAAACAGACATTCAGCTTTATATATAAGATTGCTATCCTAAGTTTACGTTTGTGAAATTCCCGCTAACATCACCGGTTCAGATCATCAAGATTTTTTTCTGCAAAATCATGTGAAGTGCCCATAAAAAGTTTACCCTGTTTTTAATTTTCAGCACCGACTTTCTGTGGTTCTCAAATGGATTGAAAAAAGAAGCATTAGAAAAAGCGTTGTAAACTTGTGCTTTCATTCGCGCAATTTTTTTATTTTCTCGAACTATCATTTTTCTGTGAGTCGCGAGCGCCAGCGCTTTAGCGACTAGGTGAGCTGTTCTAGCAGCTAGGATTTGGTATATCATTAGGTACCCGCTGTTAAAACAACTGAGGGGCGTGGCTTAGTGTTTACCACTAATGGCTGGGTACCTAACGCCCGCACCTCGGCTGGGTACCTAACGCCACGCACCCCCAATACGGAGTCGAAAAATCACGAAATCCCCGAAAATCCTCATTTTGGAGAATCTGGTGGACGGTGCAGGTGCAAGTCGCAGGCTGCGCTGTTATACGCTCCGCGTATGTCAGCGCCGCAGCCTGCCAAACCTGCAAAATGGGCGGAGTGACCAGCTGGGTGGAGTGACCAGCTCCGGAGCGGATTTCTCGCTCCAGAAGCAATTTTTTTGCGGGGAAATTTGGGGATTGGCCTGGTGTATGGGCCCACATCAGCATGCCATCGAATCTCGTGAACCCCTACTTTGGGTGGACGATGCCTTCAACCCCTTTCGGACCTGAGTTTTTCCGAGTAAGCAGAGAAGCCTCACTTTCACCATTTTTTGCTTTCTACCACATGAATAACATTACAACGGTATTAGGAGTCTTTTCAACCATATAATAATTTCTGATGTTTCAATTTTTTGGTTTCACATTTATTTTGGATTTTTAAATATCCCTCAATACAAGTGGACTCGCTGACAGTTAGCAATTATACTTGTTTAACACGTTTCGGACCGGTGCTGCACATGGTGCAGCACCCGTCTTTCAAGGATCTATTTAGTGCTTATAGGAGGTTTTCTTATTGTCCAAGGTCATTGAATCAAAGGATTAAGCTCCCCCTTTTCAAACGACTCTGTAGAGCTGTGGCGCCGATATTTGTTTAGAAGATGTGAGCGCAATTCGAACAACAGTTGCAACGAAGTGCGGCAACGCGAAAGACGCGTGCGACGTCGCAACTTTTCTTTGCTTCAATATCAAAGAGAAAAGCCGTAGTTCCGATACTAATGTGTATCGTGTACAACATATATACTTTTGGATACAATTAGAAACTGAGTTCTTGTTTCTATCCTCCAGGAAAGCACAGAAGTTCTTCTCAGGCGACAAAATTCAAACACTTCGAATTCACTCAGAACTTTGGGTTTGAACCTTATCTGACATGCTGATTACAGATGTAGCACATAGTATACGAATTAAGGTCCCTTTGTTGGCTAACGGCTGAAAGTACCCTCTTTTTCGCCGCGCGCGATTTCGCGGTCCGAAACGTGTTAGCATTGTATTCAAACATTCTGATAATATTATGAATATCTTTTGACTAATAAACGAGATACTGAGACGGCGCTGAAGCCGGCGCAAGGTATCAGTTGGTTGCAGTCCACTTGTATACAGAAATATATTTATTGCTGATAGGAAACGAATGAACGCGCGGTTTCAAAGCTACATTTGGAAGGCAAAGTCTGTATGAAGCATTCTATAGCGATGAGTAGTGAAATGATGTTCTTGCGCCAGCACAGCAGGTCTCTAAGCTGATGGTGGCAATTGCTATCACCCAGGAGCGGTATTTATCAACCCCCCATTTCACTGTTCGGGCCTTTATCAACGAGTGCCAGGACAGGCGAGGGCGCCATTCTAGAATCTGTGAAATTTGGGGTTCATAGCTCAAACGGGCAGCAGAGCCCGACCTGTCGAGATCGGGCGCCATTG